ACTCAGGACTTAAGCCAGAAAGTTATATTTGAAAACGGCAATCATAATAATTACCTACGAAACGTTTGCGTAGGTACGAGATTGTCGTATCGTCATTAAGCTGTTGTAAATGCATCGGATTGACCCTTATTATGTAAAAATTATTGCTAATGTGTCCAATCGAAAATTTCAAATCAATCTTGAATAATTTTGGTTAGTGGGGGTAACAGTTTCATGATCGACATCCCTACCCTTCAATTCTTCAAATTAATTAATTAATTATTTGATCCTAAAAGTTTTTTAAGTTTTAGGCCATTAATTTTTAATATTGCCAATTATATGAGCTGCTCCAACCAGCTTTAACTAATTAATGCCATTCTTAAACGCATTAAGTCAGCAATAACTTTTCTGTTATGGAAAATGTCGTGCTATGAAAAAAAATTCGCAGAATTTTATGACTTAAAGTATTATATTGATAAAACTAATAGTTTATTAGTGATCACACTGTAACATAACTTTCATGGGACACTCTGTACAAATGCACACTGGTTGTCAAATTGTGAATTTGATTGTTAATACGTCGAGAGTTGATTTTTAGAGACAGCAAGCACTTTGTACTACGACCAGTGTCCTAAGAGAAAACAACCTCTCAAAGGCATATTCGAAACAATGAAAGACGACCTATTAATATTAGTCATTTTGAGGAACTTCGACAGGCTACTGTAATACTTTTTACAAAACTTTTGGAGTCCTCCTGCGTCGGTTTTTGCTGACGTTTCGCCAATCATCCTGTTGGCTTCTTCAGAGCTTGACTGAAAATTTCTATTTTTTCCAAATTATCAGGTGTGCTAATTTTCGGAAAATTAATTTTAAGTTCTTTTCAATGATCCAGAAATATACAGTGTGTTCCATAGAAAAAAATGATTTTTCGTTTGATAACTTGTAAAATCCATTTTTTGTTTGATAACTTGTAAAATGTTTTGCGGTTTTTACCATTTTAGACATGGTAAACTCCCTTTAAAAGAGTCCAATTGGGTTCACATATCTATAAATAGTTTATAGCTACTGCTACTTTAACTTTCCATTTCATTGTTACCTTACTCAATAATTATTGTTAGTTCTGGGAAGTGAACACTTTAATCTACGCCGCAACATGTCATTTGCAAAGGCAGAGTTGGGAAAAAGCGCAAACCAATCTACATCTGTTTAAAGGTTTCTGAAAATCGATGCTTAATTTATTATTGTCTAAATGTAGCGCCTCATCTCATTGTTTTAGCAGCTGACGTGGTTATGCAAATGCGAGAAGGCGTGTCCATTGCCAATAATTACACCCCATGTCATCAAACCGCTAAAACTATTTTAACTACTCATCATGGTTTTGTATATAGACCAGATATTAGGAAATTAGAAACTTACTTTTTACCCACGTTAACATTAATTAAGAATTATTTCGATAATTCGCCGATTAGATCAATGTACATTTTCTTTTGATTGTTAGATAAAAACGATTTATTTGCCAAGACAATCTCCTGTTAGCTTGTCAGTAGAAAGATACGGTTATAGCATATTAAACCAATACGCTAGTTTGATGCCAAGGTTGGTATTGTTTACTTCCGTTCCTTGCAAAATATCCAAAGTACATGCTATTATAAAGCTGTAAGCTTATAACTAGAAAAAGTAGAATGTTTAGTCAAATATCAATGGTAAATAATAAACAATTTAATATAGTTTTGGTTAGTTTAATAATCTTTAATAAACTTAAGTGTAAATATTCTCAGGCATTATGTAACAAATAAGTGTACGTGTTTAATTAACTAGATATAAAATAAAAAGAAGAAGCTACAATTTAACGCAATAAAAAGCGACGGTCATACAAAAATGCTGTAATAAATCTCAGGTAAATGTTGAACTATGATGATAATATAAAATATATGATATGATATGAACATATATGAACATATATGTTTAGTTATTTGAAATATTCTGTTGTTGCGTAGTTTTGCTATACTATCCAATGCCTTTTTGCGGGAGCGTTTTAGCGGCATCCGTTCTGCGGGCCAGGTTCAACACACTGTTTTCAATGGGGTTGGTTAGCAGTTTTGGGACTATACGTATTGCGATAGATAGAACGGGAACTACGTCATGCCTGCTCGGTTGTAGACTTGTACTGTGCAACGTTTTTAAAAATGAAAATTGTTTGCGCTCTTGAAACGGCGGATTTGCTTGGACAGCCAGTTCAACGTTCGTTTAACCAAAATCATTTACATATATATAAGTGTATTGAACATAGCTTCACATACTCCCTTTTCATTTCTATCGCTATGTTCTTTCGAACCCTTCTATATATATATATATATATATATATATATATATATATATATATATATATATATATATATATATATATATATATATATATATATATATTGCCTGAACACACCCCGCGACAAAAAATGCAATCTATAAGAAATTATTCTGCAAAAAAAATCTAATACCAACAATACAATTATATGTTTAGTGCATATGTATCTGTAATACATTTTCTTTGCACAAAATTAGGAAAATGGGTGCTTATGTCTATATATCGTTGATCCCGATAATACTTAAATTTCTTAAAAACATACAGAAAAATGTAAAATGAAAAAGCAATTTTAATGTAACTGATTTCGGCTATTCTATAAAGCCCGGAAAACGGAAACGATGTTTGTATTTCTATGTTCTATGTCCAAAATTATGTAATGTAAATGAACGCCGGCTACATGAAAGTTGAGCCGTCTGCTGTTGAAGCAAATCCACCGTTTCAAAAGCACTAACAATTTTAATTTTTGAAAACGTTGTACAACTGCAAAAGTATATTGGGTTGTGGAATTGACCATTCACCACCATTTATATTTATTTAAATTGTGCGTTACGTATGCATTGCGTTGTTGTGAGAACTAAATGGAGTGGATATTTTTATGCAGATTCCTCGAGTTACTAAGAATATTCGGGTATTTTCTGAAGTGCGTTATAGGCAAATTGGACATCACAAATGCCTAATAATTTATTATAAAATACATATTAGTATTAAATATTGATCGATAAAACTCTACAATTGTTATTTAAAACATTTTGATCGAAATTGACTAGTCAGTTAAGAAGTGGTCAATTGACCAATCCCAACACTACAAGTCTACAATCGACTATGACGTAGTTCCCGTTCTACCGGATCTACCCCAAAGCTGCTTTCCCGAAGAACAGGACCTAACGTTCCCGCAAAAACGCTTTAGGCTGAGAACGCTTCACCTGTTATTTTATAACTTCCGTTGTTCGAACGGAAAATGAAAGTTTATTGGTGTTGACAATTTCTGCCACTCTGTTTTTCTGCAATTAACTTATGTACCCACCACCTTCCTCTAATAATTAATTAGACTTAAAAAGTTAGTTAATTTTCTGGTAATCCACGGTTGTGATTGCTGCTTGTTATTTATTTGTAATTTTATTTTCGAACTAACCGCAAGTAACACGAGCGCACTTTCTTGAAAACCGCGCGTTTAAAACGATTGCAACGACCATCAGCCTGACCAAAACTAATTAATAAACTGAATCGGATTTCTTTCGAAACTGTCTCATGTTTTACACAATTTGCGCGTCTGTATAATATGACGCGATATCGAATAAAACCATTTTTGGGGCGAGGGGAAATCCGGGGCCGGTAGTTTTGCCGGCATGGTTAATTACCGTAAAAACCCACTTGATACTTGAAAAAGATATATTAACATACTTGTTGCTATATATAGTGTTATTGCTGAGAAAATTTAATATGAAGTTTGTAACAAATGATCGGTAGGAAATATACCTAATTTAGATGCTATATAAGAACAGTAGACTCGCGATTATGTGAACTAATTAAAACCAAGGCAGTGCACAAGACAGTGACCTCAGATACATCTATAGCATTGGTAGTTGCCGTCTACTCAGTGACATTATCCAAATAATTCACAATTTTGTATATCTTCTGTAATATCTTCGAAATCACTTTCTCAGTATGTGTAATGTCAAATAGTTTCGCATTCACATACCGCGTGATTTTCTTCGCAAATCATCTGATCACTGCCCTTCTAATATGAGTAACCAACTTGCCCAGCGTTTTTTGAACTCGCGCCTCTTCCTAGACGCACGTATGTCACGCGACGTTTTCTTATTAAATTCAGATTCAATAATGGAAATCAAAAATTCAACGTTCACCCCTAAAAATATTCGTACATGCACCACTAGGGCTCCAAGAAAATATCGGAAAGGACGTATTTGTAATACATAGATATTGGAAGCAACTTTTTGATCACATAAATCAAATGATGAAATATCTATACTCTTTACGACCATATTCAGTCTCAGAATTTTTCTTTGTCTACCAATTGGTTTATATCGGTCATTTTATTATTGATGTTGGAATCAATTTTGCGTAAATCTTTGAAATTGTCTAAAAAACTGCTGGTTTAATTAATTAGTTAAAACAAGTCAATTAAAGAAAAAAGTATATAAACTACTGGAGCCATCATATTTACACTAACAAGTTTTTCTAAAATGGCAAACTAACTATTATTAACTATATTAAGCAGTTCCATGTCCTTCCAAGTAAATTTGCTTTATCCGATGTAAAAAATCAAGAGATAGAGAATCCACTTCGGGCGGAATTCAACACCCGCTGCTGCTTCAAAGGATGAATTTGCAAAAATTTGTAATATGCTACGGAAGACAGTTGTTGTCTCTCTATTTATTATAATACAAACTATTTTTTGTGCTTTCTGCACATGGGTACGAAAATCCGTTCCTCGCTCTTGGGGAAAATACATTTAATTGCTTAATTTCATGGTGTAGATTATTTAAAATATTTATCGTTTTCAAAAATTTCCCTGGCCTGTCCTGCATAAGATATGTTCTTGGTGGGAAGCAGCAATTAGATTCAATTTATAAATTCCAATTTATTTTGTTGAACTTGAAATTATGGGTTTGATTAGTATTTTAATCTTCTGTTCCAGTTTATAACTCTCGAAGGTTTGAATTCAGGAGTGCCTACCAGAACCACCCCTACCCTAACCCCCACAACCTTACGAAACATCGAACAGACCTTTATAGAACTGCAATCGAAACCGGAGCAGCACGAAAACGAAGCCAGATTCGTTCCGCCATTGGTTCACTCCATCGGTGAGTGTTGGTTTGTGAGTAAATGTACCGTCAGATAGCCGGTGTTTATTTTTTAATGAGCGTTTAATGTTTTGTCTCATGTAACCGGGAAACCCCGATAATAAAACCAACAAACCGATACCTTGCGTCTCATTGTGTCGGTTTGTTGCGACGCTTTTATTTAAAATGATTAAGGATCGATTGCCAAATCTAAATTCTCAAACTATTAAGAAAAATTTAACTCTTCAAATAATTTCAAATAAAAAGCACTGCAAATGGTAGCACAGTACAAAAATTATACAATGTGATACATACATATATATCCAAGTAGATTGCACATTATTTTCCATAAAATAATAACAGCGTCTAGTTTATTTTTTGACTATACAATTGCACACGCCAGAATTAATTGGAATGCAATATCAGTCAAAGTTAGAATTAAAAGCAAATAAAAAAACAATTATATGAAGTAACATTTTTATTTTCCATATATATTTATTAAAGGCACTGAACTGGAATTTCCAAAAAAAAAAAGGTAAAAAAATTGTTAATAAAAGTTAATAGTGTTAGTGTAGTACCAGCACTACTTCGTACTTTTTTAGGGTCATAGCTTAATCAAAGAAAATTGTATCGAGATGGAATAAAGAAAAAATAAACGATTATACAGGGTGTTTTTCAATTTAATGTCGATAATTTGGGGGGGCGATTTTTGGGTCCATTTTAAAAAGAAAACTTGATATGAACATTAGGGCGCTTCATTTTTGTTTTCTCTGTGCTACCTGAAAATCTGATACTTTATAGAAAATAAAAAATTATGCCGCCGGGTAAAAGTCTTTAAGTGCAATAGCGGCTTAGGTCATTTAAAAATTTATTTTCTTATTTAAATAACACAGAAAAAATTTTTTTTTTCGGTTTTTACTTGATTTTTCGACGTGAAGACAATTTTTTTTGGAAAAAAACGCGTGTATAGCTTTTGTAGAGCATTAAATTTGCTACAAAAAGATCCTATCCTATCCCAAATTAGGATTTATTATTTTGACATTAAATAGGAATTAATTATAAACAAAAGAACGCTTTATTTGAGTTATCATATGATTCAAGTTTCTAATTTCCAAAATTATTTTGGAGTCAAGTATAGAAAATTAAAATTCAATTATTAAAAAAATATTAATTATAATTAAATAATAATTAATTATAGACACTTAGAAACTATTCATGTTTGTAATCCAGTGACCACTCTAAAATGTAGTGAATGAATATAAATTGTAATTAATAAGTAATGATATGTAGAAGTGTAATTTTTTATTTTATTTAGGAGTTTCTGTTGAGTCAACGCACAGAAATTTTTTGAAAATACACCAGTGGTGGGCGTATGGAAGTTCACCCGTCCATTTTGCAAGACATTAATGGTACGCCACCGATTTCTCTTAAAGATTATTGTTACAATCTGTAATCATTTCTAAAGAACTTTAATTTCTTCATTTTTTTTCGGTTAAAAAAATAAAACTCTCTTACCTGTATGGTCATAGCAATATCGTTAAGCCTGCAGAGAAATTAGTTTTAATTTTTAAGTGAAAACCGTGGGACGGACTAAAAAAAAAGAAATGAAGTCTGCTCATAAATATGCGTGCCACTAACTGTCTATAATATATATATATATATATATATATATATATATATATATATATATATATATATATATATATATATATATATATAAAGTGAATTAGGTCGTCACTACACTGGTTAAATCGAGAACTTTTTTTTGTAAAAAATAATATATCTATCTAAAACAAAATATCTACTTTGTACCTACCTAGACTAGTGTCCTTCAGAAAAAAAAAATAGAAGATTGTTCTTTTTACTTTTACAGTTTTAATGAAATAATAACACCCTAACAATTAGATAAATAATAAACAATTCTTATTAAAAAAAAACTAGCTATTAATAATAATTTTTAACACATAGAAACTAGATAAGTTGTTGAAAGGAGGATACACGCTTCAGCTCTTTTCCTCATATTGCCGCGCACTCTTTGAAGGATACCTCCAGTGTTTCTTATCGACTCTTCTACAGTGTTAACTCCCAAGTCCAAACTAGGGGGCTATGGTTGAAGTCCGCCGTGACCTACCCATAAATGTGTGATTTAAATAATCTCTTAATGCAACACCAAAGTGGGCAGGTGCGCCATCATGCATGCACAAAAAGTTAGCTTAATCTGTAAAAAGTATTTCTTTGTCAAACAAGGGATAATGCGCAATTTTGTCCAAAATTAATATGCAAGGGAAAATCTCTGGGAAGTAACGCTTGGACTCGTATGTGATATGGGAACAATAGAAAAACTTGTCAAACTTTCCAAAACAAAACGTGCGAAATATTCAGATTATATCCAATTTTTCTAGTACCTAGTTCAGGATTTTCATCATTTTTGAATGATTATTTGCCCTCACATTACCTGTTTCAGTCAACCGTCTGTACTCTCGGCCATTCTTTTTTAAAATAACAATGCTCGGAAATTTTAGACACCTAATGAATAAGACGCGAAGAATTCATTTTAAAAACTGATGTTAAACAACTGTCAGACAACCGTCTTGACAACACCATTAATAATTCTTACCGACACACTACAATGATAAGAAATAATTATTGAGATTTCAAAAATACACCTCAGAGTTTGTGTACCTCGATTTTTTGAAGTATTTTAATAAAACAGATGGACAATTACTTAAGTAAGAAATAATAATTATAATAATTCTCTGCATGGTGTCATATTAGCAATGTTGTTATGACCATCCGAGAAGAGTTTTTTATTTTTTAAACGAAAACTTTACAACGGATTGAAAAAAATCAAGAAATTAAATTTCTTTAGAAATAAGTGTAAGAATAATTTTTATTTCGAGTGGCGTACCATCAATGACTGCCAAAATAGATATGGGAAATTCCCTACGCCCGCCACTGATATATTTTAAAATAATTGTGGTACACTAATTAATACAGATATTAGAACAGTATTTTATTTTTGAAAACTTTACCTCCCCATCTCAAAAGTTACACTTTTAGCGACATATGTTCATATAAAGTTTTCTTTTTAAAATGGACTCAGAAATCGTCGCCTTAATTGTTGACATTTATTTAGAATACACCCTGTAGAGATTTTATGCAACAAGTTTATTTGGCACGAGCGGAACGAGTGTTTAATAAACGAGTGACTTAAAAAGTTTACCAAACTTTCAACTTAACGTTAACGTTAAGTTTTTAGAGACGGAAATAGAAAATTATTTTTATAAGGGTGTAGGGTGTATTTTCAAAATATACCTATTAAACGTTTTATATAATTCTCTCATATGTACCGCGTTCATTATTCTTTAACTTAGCTAGCGTAAGTCATCTTAATTTTTTTTTAACAAAAAATTGGCACGCCGCTTTCTGACAAACGGTGCTGTAATTATTCTTATAGGTAGTTTTGCCGCCAGCAATTCAGCATTTTTTTATCTGTTCTTCCTTTTCTTTGTTCAGAACTAACATAACTATATGGAATTTTTAAACGAGATTTTGATTAATTCGCACTCCAAACTACACATATTTAAATGACCTACCGAAAGTATTGTTTTTTTTTATTCAATTTTTTATATCGAGATCCATTGTTTGAAGAGAAAGTCGTATCAATACAGTCATTCTTCTAACAGGTAACAACCAATATATTTCGGCATCGGATGCAAACGACATCTATTCGGCATCGAACACGAAATCGCCGTTGAACTGGCACAGTTCACTCTCCCAATCAAGTTCGGACTCCAACACTCGCTCCACTCCCCCCTTAACTAAGTCGAACGCGGTCAACAACGTCCCGACGGGGACGACACGGAGGAACATGGGAGGCAGAAAACCTAACAAGGACTTGTCCCTGAGCCCCGAAGAAGAAGAAAGGAGACGAATACGACGGGAGAGGAACAAGGCGGCCGCCGCGAGATGTCGGAAACGGAGGGTGGACCACACCAATTCTCTTATTAAAGTAAATATATTTAGCCCCCACCACACACGAGTTAATAGAGATAATCGAAACAGTAAGTTTTCTCGATAGTACGACTGGCCTTATTGCTTTTCAAATTTCCGTCGCCTATTTGCGAGAGCATTATGGGGCAATAATAAGGGGTGTTTTTTTTTCGATGTATAGAACTTTTAATTTGCAATAAAACAACGATGGATTATTCGATTGACATGAATCTTATTTATCAGAAAGATAATCTTGTGGTATTACATTTTAAATATGATTTCTGCTGCAATGACTTTCTAACATCTGTGGCCGTATATCGTCAATAACACGGCGAACGTTGTCTTCCAAATGGTCAAGCGTTTGTGGCTTTTCCGCATAGACCAATGACTTTACATAGCCCCACAGAAAGTAGTCTAGCGGTGTTAAATCACAAATCTTGGAGGCCAATTCACAGGTCCAAAACGTGAAATTAGGCGGTCACCAAACGTGTCTTTCAATAAATCGATTGTGGCACGAGCTGTGTGACATGTTGCGCCGTCTTGTTGAAACCACATCTCCTGGACATCATGGTTATTCAATTCAGGAATGAAAGAGTTAATAATCATAGCTCTATACCGATCACCATTGACTGTAACGTTCTGGCCATCATCGTTTTTGAAGAAGTACGGACCAATGATTCCACCAGCCCATAAAGCGCACCAAACAGCCAGTTTTTCTGGACTTAACGGTGTTTCGACATACACTTGAGGATTAGTTTCGCTCCAAATGCGGCAGTTTTGTTTGTTGACGTAGCCATTCAACCAGAAGTGTGCTTCATCGCTAAACAAATTTCCCTTATGAAAATCGGGAACAACGACAATTTCGTTTTGGGCCCATTCGACGAATCTTCGCCTTACTTGATGATCGTTTGGCTTCAATTCTTACACGAGTTGGATTTTGTAAGTATGTAAACCAAGATCCTTCCCAAAATCTTCCATAAAGTGGATGGACACAGATCCAATTCCTGTGCTCGATGGCCGATGGACTCATTCGGGTCTTCCTCAATGCCACGCTCTACAACAGCAATAGCTTCTTCTGTATGCACCGTACGGCGTCTCTGGGGATGCGAGTTATCAATAAGAGTAAACGTGGTGCGAGAACGTTCCATGGTTAATCGAATTAACTGCTCTGATGGACGATTTTGTCGACGATAAAATGGACGTAGTGCGCGATACGTATTCCGCACAGAACCATTATTTTCGAAATAAAATTGCGCTATTTGCAAGCGTTGTTCAGGCGTGAGTCTATTCATGATGAATTGCCAAACCAAACTGAGAATAAATCACTTGACAACTGTTAAATCGGTCGCCATCTTGAACAGTAATGCTAACTTAAAGTTCTATACATCGAAAAAAAAAACATCCTGTAGGTACAAACACACTTATAAATGAAAAAGACACAATATAACTATTCATTAGGGTTGGCAACCATACAGTACAGTACTATATTTGAGCTCAGCGCTCAATATTTTCAATTATGCAGTGTTACCGTTTCTCTGAAAACGTGGCAACATCTTGCCTAGTTTAAATGGCACCTCCTGTATATTATTTCGTTTTTAAATTTTACGGGACAAATAAGCCAGATTTTGTTCAAGTTCAGGTTCAGATGTCTTACCATTATCTAACTACAAAATAGTTTCCTAAATTTTTGAGAAACTTGGACCTTTGGCGAAATCTTAACAGTTCCGTGCTTGAATTAAACAGAAAGCCGAATTTTTCCAGACAGTTCCTGAAAGAGCTCAGGCATTTTTTCCTGACATACCATTTATGATGGAACATACAGGATGTTTCAAACAAGAGATTTTGAACATGTGCTTTAAATAACCCAATTTAATGATTTTTATGTTTAATCATTTTATTGGGATGTACTATATTTTTGGCCAGTGTACGTACAGTTTCTGAAAAAAGTTGGCAATCCTATCCATACAGGTTGTACGGAACACGTATTTTAAGATTTTTTAAAAACTCATGTCCAAAAATGCTTTGGTGCCCAAGCTACAGGATATTAAGTTCTAAGAGCGGGAAGTAATAATGGGTGTTTAAAAAGAAAGTTCTATTAATTAGTAGGGTAAATAGTGTATTAAAAAATAACGTTAATTTGCTCTCAGAAATTGTAAAATTTAGACCAAAAATTTCTTTGAATGTAATATAGGGTAAGATTTTACTCCCAATTTTTGAATGAGGATATTTTTTAATTTTTGCAAAAATTAAACAATTGCAAAAAAAAACGATACCTTGTAGTTTATTTGAAGTTTTAGTAAGTAATGCTAAATGAATTAATAATTTCAAATAATTTTCATTAGCGACAAAAGGCTATCTCAGAGAATAATTTGAAAAAAAACTATGAATAAAAATATAAATAATTTTGAAGTTAAATTTTGTCAGCAATAACTTTCATGACCCAATCAAAAACAAAAAAGAATCTTTAGGACCCCTTTTGCAGAGGCATATATTTTTCCGAACACCAAACTAATTTTGTTAGCGGAACATTCTTTGAAATACTTTTTTTTGGTGAAGGTATCAATAGTTTCATAATACGTAATACTGATTTATACATGTTTTGTTTCTAGTTAGCAATCATGGTCATTGTTAACTTAAAATTGCCAGTTAAAAATAGTAGTATATTGTAGTATATTATGCAACAAGTGCGGTAAACGTCATTTGACTAACGAGTTTATTTGACACGAGCGGAGCGAGTGTTTAATAAATGAGTGAGTTAAAAAGTTTACCGAACGTGTTGCATACTATAATTTTTCTACGGCCGATAGTTTTTGGGTACATGCTCGCAAAACAACACGAATACATTCACTGACATGGCTGTCAGAATTCACAAATGTCAATATTCAGAGCGTGGGAAATATCTCCGAAAACATCCGATTGCCCCCAAACTCGTGCTGTAAAATCCCGGAAATGTCCGAAGTGGTTCGGATCCGGCTAACTAAAACTAACCCTTTTTTTGTCTTGGCAATGGGCATTATAAACAATAAATTGTTTTTTGTTTATTGTGTGTATCGTTTATAACCCAGGGTGCTATTCAAAACCCACGTTAAGGGAATGTGACAAATATTTAGTTATTTTCTCTCCCACTTTCAATGTATTTCTGAAGTTTTGAGAGATATTTGCAATGAATTTATAGGGCAATTAATTAATATTCACAATCAAGAGGCCGTTAAAATAGCTTACGGGCAGAAACGACACAATAAAGAATTAGGCCGGTAGAGAAATAGAAAAAGTTCACGGAGGTTTTTCTCTTTCAGGAAGTGGAAGACTTGGAACAAAAACGGCAGAAATTGCTGGACGAACAACAAAATCTCAAGATACTCAAAGATCAACTGGAATACGCACTCGAAAACCACATGGGGGTGTGCCGCAAACAGACCCAGAGCCCGCCGGAAATTAAACCTTTCGACCATCTCTACAACAACAAATTCGAAAAGGTGAAGACCGAAGTGATCGAACCACACAACGACGTATTCCTGCTGCCGTCGCCAACCAAGAAGATTATGTTGAGCTCGACGGTTCCCATTTCGAAGCCCAACAGACCAAACTCCCTGAACGTCGCTTCGACGGTGGCGCCCACATCGAAAAATATCATGTCCGAAATACTAGGGGTGCCCATTTCGACACCGTCGACCGGAATGGTGTTCAATTTCGAATCTCTCATGGGAGGCGGTACCGGTTTGACTCCGGTATCAGGACCCGTAGTGCCTTCTTGTAGCTCGCAACAAAGAAATTTACCCGTCAGTATTGCTGACATCAGTTCGCCCGACACGTGCGGACCACCAAAACTAGTTAGCTTATAAAAAATAACCGTGGCACTTGGTGAGTTCCGATAAGCCGCAGGACCAGTCCTGAGGTTTTGGCGACGCGCGCGAAGTGCCCTTTGTTTTTTCGCGATGCCAATCCGATGGTCGTTGTTAAAGTGAAATTTGAACGTTTTTTATTGTATACCATTTTTTGATGCAATTTTTGAAGCGATTCGCGCGTAAAGTCTGAACCGCTTATATATCTACCATGTTTAGTAGTATGGAGACCAAAGCGGCGGGTGACCGCCGATTGTGGAATTTTTTTAAACTCCCCCAAAACAGTGGCGAGAAATTGTTTGTTTGTTAGTTTCTTTTTGTGAGTTACCTGTTGTACCAACCAAAAAAATCCACCACTATACCCTTAATCGTGTCATGTAATTTAATAATAGTATTTATTTTTATATAGTCATAATCCCACGATTATAGTAGCATAGTTTTCTTTTGAAACCCGCGAAATGAAATTGCTAAACATGGGTCGCCCCCGTAAATCGATCACGATGCAGGATGTGTGCTCAACATGCTATTTTTGCTATTGCAGATTTTTTTTGCTACCGAGAAATGCCTTTTTGATAAAAAAAAAGTTGTATATTTTTCAATTGAGAATTAAAGAGAAATATTCCCTCCAAGAATTTTTTGTATTCTAGTTAATAGGATTAACAAATTAATAGCGGACCGCGCGGGGGCAGCTGCCCCCCTGCGTTCGAAATAGGGATTAATAATTGAAAGCGAATTTGTGTTATTATTTATAAGTATATTATATATTTAATATATTTTAAGCAAAATACTTTATATTTAAGTATGGAAAAGATTAATGGCAATATTGTGATTACAATATTTGTAATCAGTCAGTTTTATAATAATTATTGTAGTTTTGTCAGATTTTTGTATTTATTTTATGCGAAGCTAATAATAATAAGAGAAATATAATTTACTTTTCAAAATTTCGTATTCGATTTTTTTTTATTATTTCTGGGTGGAGAGGGTGTCCTTTTCAGAAAAAACGCTTGACTAGAATCGGAAGTGAAAGTTTTCGAGTTTAGCCCGGGACTATGCGTTTTTGCAGGACAGTTGCAACACATTATTTTGAATGGGACCGTTTATACTGTTGCGGTTTTGCCGTCGAATGAGATAGTGGGATTTGAAAAGCAAAACACACATTGTATCGACGTGGAAAGTAAATCCTACCTTGCTTGTTTAATCGCAACTGACTAGGTGCCGTTCTCGTTCCTTTTTGTCGATTGTCTCTTCAAAAAAGGAAACGCGCAAAGCGTCGCAAAAAAATAGCCTGGCTGAACCAGGCTAGAGGTTAGGCAAATTTATAATAATAAAAAAAAACTAATTGATACTCACAATTTACCCGAAAAATATTCCTTTACCAAAATAAGATCAAACATACCACCGACCTTAAAATCACCAAGTGTATTTTAACAAAATAACATTCTAGTGTAATTAATGAAAGAAAAGAAAACAAAACGAAAATGAGAAAAAAAAACATTTATTCTAAATAAGGTAAACGACATAGTTTGGATATGGGCCTTTGCAAAAAACCGTTTCTAGCTGTCGCTACTCGGCAAATACCGTCAGTTCCACGATGAACCTGTGTTACTCGGGCAAGTAACGATCGAAGGGGCGTATTTAATTCGTCTTTTCTGACTACCATATCTCCTATGTTTAATAAGAGGTATTTTTTTGTCCATTTCGAACCCTGCTGAAGCGTGTTCAAATAATCGACATGCCACCGCTTCCAGAATTCGCTATGCATCGTTGCGCCAATTCCCAACGTTGTAAAGTATTAATATTAGCGTTCGTATAATCCTTAGAAGGTAAAGAAGTAAGAGGCTCCAAAGTTAAAAAATGCCCTGGAGTCAAAGCACTTATGTCATTAGGGTCACTACTCAAAGGGTGTAAAGGTCTTGAGTTTAAAACAGATTCGATGCAACAAAGCGTTGTATACATTTCCTCGAAAGTTAATTTGTTTAGCCCTATTCACCGAACCAGGTGACACTTCATGCTACGCACACCAGCTTCCCATAACCCTCCGAAATTAGGTGCTGATGGTGGATTAAAGTACCATTTGATTTTTTCCGTCTCAACGGCGTTTTTCATGAGCTCCACCAGTTGTCTATTGGCACCAATAAAATTGGTACCACAATCGGAGCGGATAATATTACAACGTAATTTACGTGCGATAAAGCGCTTTAAAACACCAACGAAAGCGTCAGTACACAAACTGGAAACCAGTTCTAAATAACGGCAAAACAAACAAAAATACAAACATAAGCCTTATCCCTCTGCCCTTTAAAGGCGTTACAGAAAAGGGACCTGTAAAGTCCAGCCCTACTTCCTGAAATAGCTTGGCCTGTGATACACGTCCTGCCGGTAAATCGCTCATGTATGGTACAACATGGTTTGGGATCCACTCGAAAGCATCTTAAACAACGAGACAAACACCTACGAATAGCATATTTCGCTGACAGTATCCAGAACTGTTGTAGAATCATAAAAATGCAATGTTTGCAAACCCGGATGCAAATATTTCCTATGTAAATAAAATATTATCAGTTCAGTAAGACGATGTTTTTGAGGGAGTAACAATGGAAATTTCCTGTCGTGTGGCAAAGATTTGGAATTTATCAAGCGACCGCTGACCCTCAAGAAACCTTGATTATCCATAAATAGATTCAATTTTCTTAAAACCTTATCTACGCTTTTGTTTTTTTCTAGCTTATATATAGCATCAGAGAAAACCTCACGTTGTACTTGCCAAACAAGACACAAAAGTGCATTGTTTATATCTTCTTCGCAAAGAGCCGCTGAACAAGCGGCAACCGGCAAATTTTACACAATATGCAATGATCCTTAAAATGTTTTCCAATGAAGAATATCTATCTATTAAACACACCGTACGGGTCCGATATGGAAATTAACGTCGTCATAGATTTGCTCTCCTCTTCTAAGCATTCAGAGGGAATTTCGGCCGATAAATCGCGAGGCCAATGATCAGAAGAGTAACGAAGAAATGGAGGCCCATGAAACCAAGTTGGGTGTTCTAAGAATTGTGAAGGAATAAGTCCTCTACTGGCACAATCTGCGGGGTTATCGTTAGTAGGATTATAACGCCAACTATCAGGAGAAATCTTATCTTGGATATGACTTACTCGATTACTAACGAATGTTTTTAATTATAATTTTATTCAGAGCATCACGAATAAACTCTACTAAATTTGACAACAAAACAGCAGCACATAGTTCCAAACGGGGCAAGGTTATTCTCTTCAGAGGTGCGACTTTCGATTTTCCAGCAACGAAATAAATTTTATGCTCGCCATTTACAAAAACCCGAAGGAAGACCACACACCCCCCATATCCGCATGCATGTGCCTAGGAATTTTTAGAGAAGACAACAGATAAAACTCACACTGAAATTTTCTCCATTTCGCGGTAATTTCGGGGGGAGGTTCCTGGTTCCAATCAAGGCCCAAGCTCCATAGCTGTTGAATTAAACATTTAGCGTACAACGTTAGGGGGCAATCATGCCCAAAGGATCAAAAATTCTAGCCAAATTTGACAAAATCCCTCTTTTGGTACACTCGGTACTAGAAATATTACCAATTTTAAAAGTAAAACTATCAAAAACTGGTTGCCACTGCAACCCAAGAAGTTTGAGGCATAGCGGTTCGACTGTATCAAAGTTATTGGGTTGCTGATGTTCAAGAGGGGTGTCCGATAAAACCTCCGCACAATTAGTAGCCCACTTTCGTAACTCAAAACCACCTCTCTTTAGATGTTCTGAGAGCTCAAATTTTATACGTTTACCAACTTCCAGATCGTGAAAACCTGTCAGAATATCGTCAACGTAAATATCAGACCACAGGATATCCGAGGCAAGTGGAAACGATTGCCGTTCATCTATAGCTAATTGCTTAATGGTCCTATTGGCCAAATAGGGTGAACTACTAACTCCAAAAACCAAAGTATCCAATCTATACTCTTGTACCGGCTTTTCACGGTTAAATCTCCATAAAATATGTTGTAACCTTTTATCCTCATCGCGAACCCGTATTTGCAAAAACATCTTCTTAATGTCTGCTATCAAAACGAATTTATGCAAACGAAATTTAAGCAAAACGTTAGAAATATCGGAATGAAGTTTTGGACCAGCATAAAGTGTAGAGTTCAATGAGACCCCATTGGAGGATTTAATCGACGAATCGAATACCACGCGGAGCTTGGTTGACACGGATTCTTCCCGTATGACACAATGATGAGGAATGTAGTACCGACCAGGCTCATCGGTCCGACTAACGATCGACATATAACCAGCCTCGAGATATTCCCTCATAAAATTTCTATACAAGTCGAACAAAGCTGGGTTATGATATAATCTATTTTCCAAAGAATAAAGTCTGCGTAAAGCTAAATTTTTCGATTCACCAAAAATTGGGTTCTTTAATCGAAAAGGCAAAGCGACAACGTATCCACTAGAAGAATCTTTAAAATGGGTTTTCTTGTATAGGTTTTCACAAAATTCAGTTTCTGGCGATACCGTTTTGATATTAGGTACGCGTTCGACCTCCCATAGCCGCTTAATATTATTATTTAGCGACTCCAAAATTTTTGTACAATACGTCGGTAAAGAAGCGACATTAGTTTTGTTCGAAATCTTAGATTTTCCCACAGCAACCCAACCAAAATTGTTTCAATAAACATGGGCCCCTCCGGGTCCGGCAAATTAATCCTATTATTTTTCATAAAAGATGTAAACTCCGCTACACCAATCAGCAAATCGATGTCGCCACGTTTCCAAAATTTCCTATCGGCCAGTTCAAAAGTATCAAAGTATGGCATATACGGAATATTCGCTGAAAGACTTGGCAATCGACAACAAATTGTTGAAAGGACCAAAGCCCTTAAAGGCAACTGTGGTTCTGGTGAAAAGTAAGGCCTGACAATACAATTAACAACCCCCTTCGCCGTTACGAATTCTTGGTTGCCAATGCCCGCTATTTGAGTTTTACACTGTTCCCGAGGCAGCCCAAGACGCATCAGACAATCTTCCGAAATAAAACTGGCCGCTGAAGCGGAGTCAAGCAAAACACGAATCGACACAAATTCCCCTCTAAAATTCTTAATGTGAACAACAGCCGTTGGAAAAATTGACACTGCATCGGAAGAGGAAACTAACGATGCTGCGACAGGAATAACACTATCACAATTATTCAACGTATCTCGACCTTCGTTTTATCCGCCCGTTGGCGATGCAAGTTGTGTACCCGAAGTACTGGTACTACTATTACCTTTTGAAAAGTGTAGCAAAGCATTGTGGAGACAGCCACACCAACAAATCTGTGACACAGTACAATCTTTAACAACATGTGCTCCAATACAAATCAGAAATAAATGTTTGCCTTTTATAAAATTAAATCTGGCATAAGGAGTTTTCCCCAAAAATTTACTGCAAGACGCTAAAGAATGTTCCGCCCTACATAACGAACAAACAAATCCACCGGCTACGAAAACACCAGGCGTTGATTGTGGTTTCTTAAACGAGGCGCGCGCATCTTTATTTGGATATGAAGTTTTGAAATTATTTTTAACCGCCACCTGTATTGCAATTGAAGCCTGTGTAGCCCGAAGTTGCGCATCCAAAAATGAATACAGGTCTTTATATGACGGTTGTCCCTTCGAAGTGCCACTACTACTATCGTTTGTTTTATTAGCAAATTCAAGTTCGAATCTATTACACGTGTTGCTTGGAATTTTATACAAAAGCAAATGAAAGTTTACGAAATCCCATTGATCAACTGGGTATTGCAAGATTCTGAGTGCCTCCAAATTTTCGGAAAATGTATTCAAGAGTTTGCTCAACTCGGTAATATTATCATCACTTTTCAATGGAGGAAAAAAGTAAATTTC